AATACACAAGAAATGTCTTGTTCAGTCTTGCCCACCCCTATACGGCACCTATTCTGTTGAAATCACTCGTTGCTTTAAATATTGAACTTTCGATCTGCGCGCGCATATCTCACATGACTCCTTAGTTTCCTTGTCCAATAACTCATAGAATTACAATCAAACTTCAACTTACAGGTAAGTCTCGTTTAATCTTAAATTATACGCGTTGATCGAAATTAGAATAACACAAAGTTATATTTGTAATGCAGAAAACTAATTATCAGTTCGACTGCAAATTTAATGTCAACTATTCTGCTTATACGCACGCTTAATTGGGATCAAACATTGTATTTCAGTCCTTTGCAGGTGTTTTGATGCGAACTGTATAGTATGCTGAGAAAGCTGATATAGTGCATGAACGGCCCAGAATTCTGTTCTGACTTCGTGGCGTCGTACAAACAGTTGAATTGATTAGCATTAGTAAATAAAGCTGCCCTGTTCTAACGACGAGAATGAGAGTTAGCGAGTTATACTGTATAGCTTCTAAACAAATTTTCGCCACTATAGTATACTCTCGCGAGTACGTATGACAGTCGATAGGAGTTACTGGTCATATACGCGCGTCCCCTAAACCACATTACATTATGAACTCCAACTTAAGTTTGCTTCACCGGGATCAGTTTACTCTCGTGAATGGATTCATGAGAGGAACTAATTTGCAGCGAAAATATGCTTGCATGATATGGGGAGAAGGATGCGAAAAATCTTTATTCTACTTCTAGTTAAAAATCTACCACAGAATTTGCATACATTTAATTGCATTTAAGCTATGGTTCACCTTATACATGATGTGCATATATATACGGATCAAACAAACGGCGACGGTCAAGTTGTAAACGAAACAATTAATCGACAATAAATTTCAGTTTAAAAAATGTATTTACCGAACGACAATATAATTGACAGAAAGGTGTTAAAGTATTTATGGGCTTATGGCTTTACCTAATTAAAGAATCTGCTTAGCTATATTTTGGTCCATCACAGTGTCCTATACATTTCGTTTTTGTATACTGCATATGCAGGTTCAAAACTGCCGTAAAATGAATAAAGCTGAGAAAAGTATTAGCGTAGTAATATTTAACGATTATATCCCGAAGCCGATAATCCTATCGAATCCCATGCATTCCCCCGTACGCCCATGACGCACTTGGGTCACATATTTCAGATTTTACAATTTTGAGAAGACAACCTTAATTGATTTAGCTGTATACATATACATACCGTATTGTAAAAGCTCAATCACACTCAATGAGTGGAAATTCAATCTGGGTTTCATTTGTGTGTCAATGCTGTTTTTTGAATAGCTGGAGGGTGTGTAGTCACATACTAAAGTACGACACACACTCTCCAGCTATTCAAAAATAGGAATAACACTAAACAGCAATAACACTCACAGAATTAAGGAGGCTCCCTACAGTTCCGTGCGGGATGTTCGCGGGACAAGTACGGGAACTATCCCACGCAACTGCATGATCAAAACAAAACAAAAATTGACCATGCTTTTTTAAAAAATAAAGCTATTTCTGAAAGGTTTCTAATGGAAAAAAGCGTTGAATAATACTTCGTTTTGAGTGCCAAATCACTTGCGAGTCTATACAGCAATTCTACATATGATACGAATATCACTAGACCAAAAAATAGCTACGAAACAATATTTTAAAATTTTTTTATACACTGTCAACTGACTCAACTGTAAAACATTTGCAAAATTGCATAGAAACGTTTAAAAAGTTGTTTACTTCTCAAGAAAACGTTCACGTTTTTAGTCGTGTTTCTACAAGATTAAAGTGATTATATGTAAACAGAAAAATGTTTCAGTTTCATAGCCTAATTGTTCATTTTTAGCAAAAAGTACAAAACCAAACATGACACAAAAAAACACGTCCACCTGTTAATAGGCTGTTACAGCTCATAGATTGAGTAAACGGCAGGATTCAATTAGCTTCAACCTTGTTTTCATCGATTTAATCCTTCACAATAATCCTTGGCTGTCCATAGCACTCAAATAAATCGAAAAGTTGACAAAAACAAAACAGTAAAAACAACATTGCGGCTCGATTTTGCTGAATGAAAACTCGTTCTGCGCCCGCGTACAATCTTTTACTAGTCAGCGACGCTTTTCAATAGGGGAATTTCTCGAGTTACACGAGGCTATTTTCTAACTTTATTTGCATTTTACTCATTAGTTTCATCGGTGACCTTTCTTCAAATTTTGACCACGAATTTATTTTGCGGTAAATTTTATAAATTTCAAATTTTAAAAAAATCTGTAGTGTGGAAATTTCGCAATAAATTTTTCGCTTTTAAAAAAATCACACACTACAGAATTTTTTTAAACTTTCACCACAGTTGCAGAGCATCATTCCTTATTGATATATGAAATAAAAAAGATAGGTCACCGACATCGTTTTTGAGATAGCGGCACATTTATGGGTTAAATTGGAAGGCTTTATGCTGTCGTCATGTTGCCATGGGAACATTGACGTCGTCGAAATCTAGTTCGAAATATTCCTTAGGTGACCAATATTGCCACCAAGTCGAAAAGAATTCGCGTTCTGCACGAATAAGCCTGTTTTACGGAATTATTGCTTAAACAAGAATAACTGTAGGGAGCCACCTTAAGTCCGATTTAACTTCTACTCCGATTTAACTTCCACTCATTGAGTGTGAGTGTCGGTGAGCTTTTATACTGGCGATATAGGCTTGATAATGAAAGTTCTGATGGACAAAGCATGCTCTACCAATTGGGATAAAAAACATTGATGCGATCGGATAATCAATTTTCTTAAGAGCAAGGATCTGTATCATCTGGTTATGACAATACGTTTATCGTCTTATTACCTCCGCCAGGAGGTTATGTAATCATCTGGGTTTGTATGTGTGTGTGTGTGTGTGTGTGTGTGTGTGTGTGTGTGTGTGTGTGTGTGTGTGTGTGTGTGTGTGTGTGTGTATGTGTGTGTGTGTGTGTGTGTGTGTATGTGTGTGTGTATGTGTGTGTGTTTGTCTGTGAGCACGATAACTCAAGAAATACCAAACATATCCGTACGAAATTTTTTGAATGCATTTCCCATCGGCTAAGGAAGAACTGATTAAAATTTGGTTGAATTTGGTTAAAAATTGAACGAGAAATGAACAAAATTTTGTCTTGCTTTTCCCGGTCAATTAACAAAATATATTACTGAATGCGTAATTAGGACGTGTATAATTTATGCACTCAGTGCTAAGACAGTAATGAGATGATAAACCTCATTAAGCTTCGGCCTTCATTATCTATTGTCTTAGTTGCATTTCACGCGACCGAAATTCAATGTCTAAAACAATTATTACGCATTATTACGTTCAGCAAAGTGCCAGTCCATTCAAATTCTAACAACATTAGATTACTTCAATACAGGGTGTATAAAAAGAACGCAACCTCGGAATTTCCCAAGAATCGACATTGTTTTAAAGACAAAAGATTTTAGCTGCCTGGGAATTTAAAATAGCACAACTGTGAAAATTACTGCACGCGCGAGTGCATAAAGCAAAATTTGTGCATTTATTTAATGACACTTAAAAAGTTTTTATTTTACAAGTACTGTACAGTACAACAACAGTAATATGTTCTATTAGCAATTCCATTTCAATTCGCGGGGGCCTGAAATCTTTTATGCTTAAGAATTACTAGAAAATACATGCATGCAGAAACCCTCGCCCTGCTGACAAAACCGTCGTATTTTCCAAACATGAAGTATCTAAAGTAGTTGTCATGGTAGCACGATAATTTTTTAAGAATATTCTTACAAATGAAAATCGCCTAAAAATATCACTTTTAATTACAAAATTATCAATTTCCCAACATATATATGTTAATTAGGTATGTAATTATACGTAATACAAGCTTCAATTTAAGGTAAAATTCAACCACAAACAATTCACAAAACGTTTTAAAGTGTTCTTTATAAAACTAAACTGCCTTTATTAACTATTAAATGGCTTTATCGATAAACTTTGAGTTTGCAATAAAATGATTTCAAATTCTCGCTCGCAAATAACTTTGCTTTATTTTTTATTTAAAAAATTCAATATAATAAAAAAAGGAATCAATATTAAAGATACACTGAAATTATATGCTGTCTAGTTTAGTTGTTTCATATACGCAAAGGCCGTCGGGTTTTAAAGCCATTATATAAAATCAATATTTAAAACAAACTTACCTTCGTTAACGTCGGCTCCCTTCTTTTAGCTGATTCTCTCGCCCTTTCTTTCTTGAAATTTACAAAATCTTGCAGAAATACGAGCAAAAATGAAGAATATTTGCAAAAAATATATCAATCATCAACTCATCAAAAATCAAGAAATGTTTGCTATTTCGCTGTCGTCATGCGTCGTTATAATGCAAACTTTAAATTGGACCAATCAGTGTCCGTTATTCATGACAGTCCGCCATATTTTTGAGATCAGTGAGGATGACCACCCATTGTTGGTGACCGACGCCCGCGATATTTGATGAACTTTAGACTCCGCTAATGCTTTCGTTTCCCCGGGTGTAAATAGCCGGGGGGAATTAGTACCCTCGCACGGCGCTTCGCGCCGCCGGCTCGGGGATAAAGTGGATTTCTTAGGAAATTCCAAGGTTGCGTTTCACTTCCGAGTAACGGGCGGAGGTATGCAGTCTCTGAGTGCCCTCTAGTTTATTTTGTTACTAGAAAATACATGCATGCAGAAACCCTCGCCTTGCTGACAAAACCGTTGTATTTCCGAACATGAAGTATCTAAAGTAGTTGTCATGGTAACACGATAATTTTTTAAGAATATTCTTACAAATGAAAATTGCCTAAAAATATCACTTTTAATTACAAAATTATCAATTTCCCAACATATTTATGTTAGGTATGTAATTATACGTAATACAAGCTTCAATTTAAGTTAAAATTCAACCACAAACAATTCACAAAACGTTTTAAAGTGTTCTTTATAAAACTAAACTGCCTTTAACTATTAAATGGCTTTATCGATAAACTTTGAGTTTGCAATAAAATGATTTCAAATTCTCGCTTGCAAATCAACTTTGCTTTATTTTTTATTCAAAAAATTCAGTATAATAAAAAAGGGAATCAGTATTAAAGATACACTGAAATTATATGCTGTCTTGTTTAGTTGTTTCATATACGCAAAGGCCGTCGGGTTTTAAAGCCATTATAAAATCAACATTTAAAACAAACTTACCTTCGTTAACGTCGGCTCCCTTCTTTTAGCTGATTCTTTCGCCCTTTCTTTCTTGAAATTTACAAAATCTTGCAGAAATACCAGCAAAAATGAAGAATATTTGCAAGAAATTTATCAATCATCAACTCATCAAATCAAGAAATGTTTGCTATTTCGCTGTCGTCATACAGCCGTTATAATGCAAACTTTAAATTGGACCAATCAGTGTCTGTTATTCATGACAGTCCGCCATATTTTTGAGATCAGTGAGGATGACCACCCATCGTTGGTGACCGACGCCCGCGATATTTGATGAACTTTAGACTTCGCTAATGCTTTCGTTTCCCCGGGTGTAAATAGCCGGGGGGAATTAGTACCCTCGCACGGCGCTTCGCGCCGCCGGCTCGGGGATAATTTATGAATTTAAAGCACGCTGAGAAGCTTTTAGCATAATTTAAACACGAAACGCGCCTATTATGAGTGCTTTGAATACCTTCAGACATAACAATTATACGTATTGTTGGGATCTTTACATATGCTTAAGTACATATGTATTTAAGGGACCGATCATTATTTATGGTGGGGGGTGGCACCGAAGAGAAATGTTTTTTGTCGCAAAAATTTTGCTGACCAAACCATTAAAAGGTCAAAAATTTGATTACCCAACCTCAAATATCAATTAAAAAATAAATACCCACCCCTGGCCAAAAACTTTACAAATTGAAAACCATTCAGTTGTCACACGTGTCCTTTACCATTTTTGTGACATGAGTTTGATAACGGCTTGTGAAATTTTCTAAAGTTTCATGTTGTCTGCAACAGATCGGACTGAAATGATCAAGATAGTGACTCTGATTGATTCACATATTGTATTGACATATCACTGTTGACATTGCTTTTCAGTCTCCAATATTTCAGTGAATCATGCTTTGGAAATTATAATAAGTTTTTTGATTACCCAACCCTTGAGTTGTTTTGTTTTTCATTTACCCAACCTTTTACTCACTCAAAATTTTGTTTACCCAACCCTTTTCTCTTCGGTGCCACCCCCTGCCATAAATAATGACCGGTCCCTAAGGGGCTTCGGTGGCCAAGTGGTTAGCGCACTTGCCTTTCACCTCTGAGGCTGCAGGTTCGAGTCTCACTAAGTACCTTCTCAATGCGACTCGAACCCAGTCCCCATGTGAAAAGAGTAAAAAGTCAACGCTCTGCCGAAAGCCGTGGGTTTTTCCCGGGTACTCCGGTTTCCTCTCACAGGGAAAGTTGACAGGGTGGGTTAGGTAAAAAGGGCCCACAGTAATTGGCATATGCTGTTGTGGTGACCCTGCCCTAGTTGGCAAAGCTAAATAAAAAAATAAAAAAATAAAAACATATGCTATTTGTAGGTTCGAGATATAAACATATAGAATAAAGATCCATATAGAAGGGCCACTTACGTCGGAAGCTTTGAAGTTTCTGTCCTCGCCCATACCGCATTACGTGTTATTTTGAAGACGGGAATAACCATAGAACTCTTCGTTTCAACAAACTATCCAATATTCCTTTTATGCCATAGGGCATGCAAGTGTTTTCATGCAGTTCATTAAGTAATGAGATTTGAAACGAATATGATGCATGTTTATGCGTTTATTGCTGACAGAAAAGTGTCATGTTATTTTATGTAGTGGAAATGTGGAAATAAAGCAGAAATGTTTGTTGACTCACTGCGAATCTGAACTATAGGCCATAATTATCATGTTTGAAGGTATTCAAAGAACTCATAATTGGTACTTTCAGTATCGTGTCTAAATTTGATAAAATACTTCTCGAAGCTTTTTAAGAGAGGATGTCCACAAAAATCAAACATAAGGCGGCCACGACGGAAAAATCGATTTTGCTCAAATTTTGCCCAAATATACCTTATTATATCGGAAAATGCACCATATATTCTTTTAGGTCAAATGCTTTTTTAACTTTGAGAAAATGCCGTTTTAACACGACCACCCTAAATCGCCATTTTGTCTGGGAAAATATGCGCTGACTTTACCGACAAATTTCACGACGACAACCGTTTCTAATCGATCTAAAACCCTAAAAATCTTGTTTTCGGTTATTCAAAGGACCGGGTACGTGACTTACAGGAAATCTGAGTTACTTTTAGGAATAGAAATAATCGTAGTTTTGGAGCACACTATCTTACCTCATTTACGATACCCTCTTAACAAAACCGATTTTCACTATGGGATAAAGCTCCAAATCGATCATGCTTCTACTAGTTGGCTCTTTAATAAACAAGCTTTCAATTGACGTAACTACTTCTTTGGGCAAATAAATACGCGATAAACGACAGCGCGTTGAAATCGTCCGTTTTTGACGTCTTGCAAGTCAAACGCTGTTAATTTACATACCGTCGAAGTAAACATTTAATCAAGTATTTTAAGTGTTTTACCTTTTGATAAGAAGATATATTCTTGAATGGAGACTTTTTGCCTTGCTAAGTTTAAAATTGGTCCAGAAATCCCGATATATTTGTGAAATATCATCATATACAGGTATTTTGAGATATAATATCGTTGTCAGTTGCATGATAACTTCAGATCACTGTTCAATATTGTCTACTTTTAATAGCGCTAACATACAAAGCGATAACCTGTTTAGGGATTATATTTGTTACTAAATTTACCAAAATAATTAGAACTACAACTGCTGTTTTCAGAGGTTTTGTTCCATTTTGTCCATATTATTTTATCTGCGCGTAGCGCAGATATATTGCTATCGCGTCAGTCAGTCAGTAAAGTAAAGTAAAGTAAAGTAAAGTAAAGTTAAGTAAGTTAAGTTAAGTTGTTAAGTCCGTCAGCCTTGTTTTGAAGACCTGTTCGCAGGCTAGAACAGCTTTAAAACAAGATGGCGTCTTTCGAAAAGCTTTCAAGAGTAGTATTAGTAATCGTGGTATTAATAGA